AAAGGTGATGGAACAGCTCATGCCAGATGTCATCTCTAAGCATGTAGAGGAAAAGAAGGTTACTGGAAGTGGTCAACATGGATTCACCAATGGGAAATCATGTTTGACCAAGCTGATAGCCTTCTATGATGGAATGACTGGCTGGGTGGATGAGGGGAGAGCAGTGAATGTTGCCTACCTTGACTTCAGCAAGGCTTTTGAAACAGTCTCCCACATCATCCTGATAGGTAAGCTTAGGAAGTGGAATTGGCTGAATCAGAGCTCAGAGGGTTGTGATCAGTGGTGCAGAGTCTGGTTGGAGGCCTGTAACAAGTGGTGTTCCCCAGGGGTCAGTACTGGGACCAGTCTTGTTCAACATACTCATTAATGACCTGGATGAAGGGATAGAGCGTACCATCAGCAAGTTTGCTGATGACACAAAACCGGGAGGAGTGGCTGACACACCGGAAGGCTGTGCTGCCATACAGTGAGACCTGGACTGGCTAGAGAGTTGGGCAGAGAGGAACCTAATGAAATTCAATAAGGGCAAGCGTAGAGTTCTGCACCTGGGGAGGAATAACCACATGCACTGGTACAGGTTAGAGACTGACCTGCTGGAAAACAGCTCTGCTGAGAGACACCTGGGAGTCCTGGCAGACAAGTTAACCATGAGCCACCAACGTGCCCTGTGGCCAAGATGGCCAATGGTTCAATGTGGCCAGCAGCTCAAGGGACGTCGTCCTCTCCCTCTACTCTGCCCTGGATGGCATGATGTGTGAGAACACATCTAGAGTACTGTGTCCAGTTCTGGGCTCCCTGTTTCAAGGATAGGGAACTACCAGAGAGAGTCCAGCGGAGGGCTACAAAGATGATCAAGGGAATGGACCACCTCTCTTATGAGGCAAGGCTGAGACACCTGGGTCTGTTTAGCCTGGAGAAGAGAAGACTGAGAGGGGATCTCATCAATGCTTATAAACATCTAAAGGGTGGGTGTCAACAGGATGGGGCCAGACTCTTTTCACTGGTGCCCAGTCACAGGACAAGGGGCAACAGGCACAAAATGGAACACAGGAAATTCCATCTGAACATAAGGAAAAACTTCGTTACTTTGAGGGTGGCAGAGCACTAGAACAGGCTGCCCAGAGATTGTGCAGTCTCCCTCTCTGGAGATATTAAAAACCCACCTGGATGCATTCCTGTGCAACCTGCTCTAGGTGAACCTGCTTTTGCAGGGGGATTGGACTATGTGATCTCCGAAGGTCCCCTACAACCCCTACCATTATGTGATTCTGTGAAAGGCCTGGGCTATAACCAAGCCAAAACCTTCTCTAGTTCCAACCTGTTGTCTGAAAGCACTCACAGGAACAGGGTGACATAATGAGCATTGATGCATATGGGCTTGGAAACTGTAACACCAACCATGCGATTAACACACGAATAGCAGGTGGTTCTTCCAAGACTCATTTATCAAGGAACAAAGAAAGATGTGGGTACAAGGAGTCTCATGCTTACCTTTTCTATCGCAGGTATTTTGACGATGAGCCAACCACTTTACTCCATAAATATGAAAGCCTGAGTGCACCTTCTTCGAGCTCTCCCTGCTAGGCAGCTGGCTGCACAGCGGTGATCTCCCCTTGAGCTGGGACACCTCTCAAGGTTACTTCTCAAGGCTGAGAGACCCCTTACCAACTGCAGATCTTTGGTAAGTGATTGATATCGCACATTACTTTGTATTACATTGCACTAAGATTTTGTATTGGTAAGTTTGAATCATTATTATATATATACTCTGCAGTGAACCTTGCCATTGGACTTAACATGTTGAGTCTCACTTTTACATCTTACTTCAGTAAAATCACTTTTGCCTTTTGCTGATACCTTTGGTGGTGGTTCTTCAGGTGGTCTAAATTGCCCATCCATGACACCACCTTCTTTGCACAAGGCTCTGACACATTCAAAAGCCACACACCTGCACGCCAATCCCTTGCTCTGTTTCAGAGCCACCTCCTGCATCTGCACTCAGTGTCACCTAATGTAGCCTGTTTCTCTTGCCAACAAACCACATGGCAAGGACTTCTGTGGCCCACCTGCCCCACACTACACAATATGGCACTGAAATGAGGCACACTGGATTTCTCAAGGATTTCTCTGTGTCACACACAGGGAGAGGGATGCAACTCAACAAAAAGCAGTCATTTCTGTCCTGCAGCAGCAGGACCTGCCCAGCTCACTTTGTAGCACAAACACAGCTCTGCAAAACTGTTCTGATTAATCTCATCTCTGTTCGAGACTCTCTGTCCCACTGGATCCATCAGGCTTAGGTATATTTTAATAATTCTTAGTCCCCAAACAGGCAGACTTGCATTCATAATGAGTTTCAGAAAACTGAGTTTTGCTAACTCAGCATTGTGGAAAGGCACAGAAAACATTAACTAACCACTGCTCTGCATCAGTCATGTCTCTGCTGTAGATGGCACAGAAACACGAGTTCTTTCAGTGCACTGTGAACTTTGTTTGCAAATGAAAAGGAAGTGGAAGACTAGGAGTACAGAAATCATCTAGGAAAAGTTTGATGCCTGTTCTTATGACAAAGTTATAATTCTGTAATTCATGGCTTGATTTACAGAGCACCAGGCCTGCTGCTAACAGGTGGGAAAAGCCTATCTTGCAGGTGGAAAAGTGTTCTAGGACTAGAGTTAGCAGGGCTCATTGAGAGAGCTTTAAACTAGATTGGAAGGGGGATGGGGATGTAACTAGGCTCACTAGAGAAGCACCCGACTGTAGTATCCCAGCACTTGTGGGGCAGGGTGCTAGTATTTTTGAGAATTGGAAGGCCCACCACCTCTCTAGGGCAAAAACTACGCACAACTGCCTCTCTGAAATGCTTATACAACAATGCACGCAGCATGGGGAACAAGCAAGAATTAGAGATCTGTGTGTGGTCACAGGTCCATGATCTCATTGCAATTACTGAGACATGGTGGGATAGCTCACATGACTGGAACACTGTCATGGAGGGCTATGTTCTCTTTAGGAACGACAGGCCAGCAAGGCGAGGTGGTGGAGTCGCTCTTTATGTGAGAGAGCAACTGGAATGTATCGAGCTCTCCCTGGGGGTGGAGGAAGAGCAAGTTGAGAGCTTGTGGGTAAGGATCAGGGGGCAGGCTAATATGAGAGACACTGTTGGGGGTGTCTGTTACAGGCCACCTGATCAGGATGGGGAAGTTGGTGAGGCCTTCTACAGACAGGGGAGAATTGCCTCACAATCACAGGCCTTGGTTCTCATGGGAGACTTCAATCACCCTGATAACTGCTTGGAAGGCCACACAGCTGGGCATGTACAGTCCAGGAGGTTCCTCCAGTGCATTGATGACAACTTTTTGACTCAGGTGGTGGAGGAGCCCACAAGGAGAGGGGTACTACTGGACCTAGGACTGACAAACAAAGAGGGACTGGTGGAGGCCGTTAAGGTTGGGGGCAGACTTGTCTGCAGTGATCATGAGAAAATAGAGTTCAGGATTAAATGCAGCATGCACAGAACAACAAGAAGGGTCGAAACCTTAGACTACAGGAGGGCTAACTTTGATCTTTTCAAGAACCTGCTTGGACAAATCCCAAGGGTGAGGGCTCTAGAGAGCATCCATAAGAGAAAGAAATCAGGCAAGGGAAGCAGGAGACATGCATGGCTGAGCAGGGAGCTTCCGAAAAAGCTCAAGCGGAAGCAGGAAGGTTACAGTATATGGAAGAAGGGACTGACCCCTTGGGAAGAGTAAAAGAATGCCGTCAGAGCATGCAGGGATGAAACGAAGAAAGCCAAGGCCGCCTTGGAATTAAATCCGGCAAAGGATGTCAAGGTCAACATAAAGGGTTTCTTCAAGTACATCGGTGGAAGTCATTGCTGAGCCACTCTCCATGGAGGTGAAAGGTCATGGAGAACAGGAGAGGTCCCTGAGGATGGGAGAAAAGCTAATATCACGGCAGTCCTCAAAAAGAGGAAGAAGGACGACCTGGGAAACTACAGGCTGGTCAGCCTCACCTCCATCCTCACCATTCCTTAACTCCAAAGGTGATGGACCAGCTCATTCTGGGTGTCATCTCAAAGCATCTGGAGGAAAAGAAGGTTATCAGAAGTAGTCAAAATGGATTCACCAATGGGAAGTTATGTCTGATTGATCTGATAGCCTTCTACGATGGTGTGACTGGCTGAGTGGATGAGGGGAGAGCAGTGGATGTTGTCTACCTTGACTTCAGCAAGGTTTTCAACACTGTCTCCCACATCATCCTCACAGGCCAGCACATTGAGGAAGGCTATCCTCCCCCTCTACTCTGCCCTGGTGAGGCTGCATGTGGAGTATTGTGTCTGGTTCTGGGCTCCCCAGTTCAAGGACAGGGAACTGCTGGAGAGCGTCCAGCAAAGGGCTACAAAGATGATCAGGGGACTGGAGCATCTTTGTTATGAGGAAAAGCTGAGGAACTTGCATCTTTTTAGTCTAGAGAAAAGAAGGCTGAGGGGGGATCTTATCAATGCTTATAAATACTTAAAGGGAAGGTGCCAGGTAGATGGTAACAGTCTTTTTCCAGTGGTGGACAGTGACAGGACAAGAGGTAACGGGCACAAACTTGAACACAGGAAGTTCCATATAAACATGAGGAACTTCTTTCCTGTGAGGGTGGCAGAGCACTGGCACAGGCTGCCCAGAGAGGTGGTAGAGTCTCCCACCCTGGAGACATTCAAGACCCAGCTGGATGCATTCCTGTGCAACGTGCTGTAGGTGACCCTGCTCTGGCAGGGGGGTTGGACTAGATGATCTCCAGAGGTCTCTTCCAACCCTGACCATTCTGGGATACTGTAAACTACAAAACTGACATTTAAATGTACATTTAAAAGATGATGAGGTGAAAGGCATTTTAGTTGAATATAGCTAGCACCACTGACTTAAGTGTATTGTTCGCTGTGTAGTAATCCCTTCCAGCATATAAATCTCCAGGTACTTGAGGTGTTGACAGTAGGAAAGCTTTGCCTATAAGGTTTTTTTCCTGCACTTCTGAACTCCACACTGACAGGAAATCTCTGCCTCTGGCATGCTTCCAGCTTCATAACCATAATCCCACGTGAGTTCGGTTCCAGCTTTCACATGCCTAAGAAATAAAACACTTGGTCAATTTGTTTGAATGAAGTGAAACAGTACTGTGCTTACAATTTGTTGCCAACGATTCACATGCAAACCCCAAAATTGTAGCAGGCAGGGAGCATCACACAGGCAGCTTGTTGCAAGAGAACCAAGAGATATAAGGCATCTCTGGCGCGTACACGCTGCTTTGCCTACCAGAACTATGGAGAGTGCAAATACGCACACCTAGGAGAAAAGAATTTATCAAGCAGTGTGATAGGGTCAGAGTCTAAACAACTTGCTCTAACTTTGAGGCAAATTCTGGGAAACAAAAATCACACCAAAAAAAAAGTAAAAAACACATAAGTGAATACATCTAAATAAGAACACAGTTTTGTTATTTTTACTATGTATAGTGCATCACTGAGGTTTGAACAGATCTCTAGATGCACTGATGATGAAGACTATGAATCATCTTTGGTCTGACAAGCTACATTTTAATGCAATTGCACTATCTATGTGCTCAAAGCCCAAGACCGAGAATTAAACACATGCTCCTCATGAACTAGCCGCTCTGACAGTACACAAAAGAGAAGAAATTTCTAAGGTAGGAAATCCATTACCCCAAATGAATGCCAAATTAGATACCTGAGACTAAGATGCTGAGGGACAACTCAGGGAAAATACAATAAAATATGAGTATTACAAAGAAGAGAACAATTCTCTGATATTTCTCACTGGATACAACATAAGAGACATCCAGTGAATTACCAGGCAGCAGGCTGAGAACAAACCAAATGAGGACTTTTCAAACAGCACATACTTGCAACCTGGGACTTACTGCCTTAGGATGTTCTGGAGGCCAAAAATATAAGACAAATAAAAAAGTGACTGGGCGAGTTCACGGAAGCTACACAATTAAGCTCGATGATCCAGATGCAGTCCTCAATGTAGAAAAATTGTTAAAGGGTGATTGCCAGAAAGCAAGAGGGCCAGCCAGGGTAACGTTCCTTCAACAATCTTCTTCCCTAAGTGTCTTCTGCTGACCACTATTACCTCCTACACTGTCTTCAGTCCCCACTACACACTTCTTTACTGACTACCTAAGCAAGAAAGACTCTATCTAAACCAAAATCCTTTTTTCTGACATATTTCAAAACATTGTCTTCACAGTTCTTGGAAGCCCTCCTCACAGCGCAATCCACAGCACTTGTGTCAGTGGGGACCAGAGCTGCAAGGCTCCACAGAAGATCAGCGCTTCCTGGAGTTGGTTTGTCTGGAACGAATCCTTTCTTCTCTATTGTAAGCTCTCAGCCAGTACTCCCACTGTCACATGTATCAGCTAGCTTCATTCATACAATTAATCTTTTCCCTGCTGACACCTTCTTGTGTCTCACTGGCACCAGCTCTCTGTACCTCCTTTTCTGTCATCCACTAAGGGAAGACCCACATCTTTTGCTTTCAGAGAAAGTTTTCACCCCTGAGTATCCTAGCACCACCTCACCAGGATATGTTGGGATACACTAAGTCCTTGGTAGCTGTGAGGAGAAGGCCTGGAGCCAGCTTGTTTTGCCCACAAAGTGCCTCAGTCTTAAGACCCTGCAGGCTCCAACCTTGCCCTATGGGACTCAGATCTGCTGGCCGTTCCTTGAGAGACAACACTGGGATCACTGATTCTTGGCTTTCAAAATGACCATGCTGAATTAAACCTATTTTTACACTGAAGATTATCACTGAAATGGATGCATCAAAATTAAGCTTCCCCGCTTTACATTTCAGTGCAAAACTAAGAAAAACTCATTAGTGACAATCAATAGCTGTATTTCCTCAGTCTTTAGTGCACAATAAGAAGTCACCAATAAGAAGGTAATTTTATGGGTTTGTGATCTAAGCATCTGGCCCCTCTTACCATAATTATTTCCTAATAAGTAAGCACTGCTTTTTCCCCTAGTGCCTTAAATGAACAGCATTAGACTTCAAAAAAGTCACCTGTTTGTGAAGAATGCCACCCATGGGAAACTTCTGTTGTGAGTCTCTACAAACACGCTCTGTGCAAAGAGATTTGGGCAGCAGCTGTGCTGTAGAACAGAATATTTGAATTAGAAACAGTGAAACACCTCATCATTGGCTGAAGAACCTATTTTGTGTCAGATATCTGTCACTGGTAAAGGTAGTTTCTTCCTTCCCTTCCCCAGCCCACACAGAATGTCTATTACTGAATTCCTTTGCCACTTATTTCTGCAGTAACTATATCTCTTTAAAGTATTATTTCCATCATATGATGAAAGTACTTTTGCCTAGGAAAACCGAGGTCTTTTATCAAGCTGTGCTCCAGAAATCTATGGTGAGAATTCATCTTTGATTCAGGATGCACCACAAATAATCAACATGGGACAGATGTATCTCGCTGTCAGCCAGAGAAGCAGTGCTAGGGAGCGAGCAGTAGATTAAATGATTGCATATGTTGGCAAAGAGCTATGAGATGTGAAAGGTTATTCAGATGCACATAGGAACATGTGTATGGTCATGGATGCAGAAGAAAAGATTAGTAGTACAGCTTGCTGAAACCTAACACCATATTACCTCTGCAATGAAGAACAGCTTAAACATGCATGGATTTTGCTGTTAAGACACATATTCGTGCCAATGAAGAGAACTAAGTTACTTGCAGAGTACTTGCGGATGTGTCTATGAAACACTCTCCTTAGCTGGAGGTACTCGGTAATTCACTACTATTTCTTGGCAAGTCAAAATTGAGAGACTTATTTAGCAGATACATACACAGTATGATAGACCACTTTCTGAATCTATGATTGAACAGTAGAGAAATTTCCTACAATATTACAACCCTTATTCTAAATCAGCACAAGCTAGAATTTACAGTGGTTGGGGAACAAAAAATGAAGCTGGGAGAAGGCTTGTGGTTCAACAAAACATGCTATTTGCTTTCTGGACCCCCACAAAAGGCTGTTCAAAAATTCAGGAGAAAGTCATCACTCATTACTGGGGAATATTTCACTCAGGAAACTAGCGGTGCCAAAAACTACAGCTAGTATGGAGGCACTAACAGCCGGTGTGACCCAACCTGCTGTTCTGTCACTTCAGAGCGCAGGGAGCACCACAGAGCCTGCCTTGTCATGCACCTATCACATATATGGTTTATGTGCAAGAGCTTTCTAGTTTATGCAAACACATCATTATTTATTTAAGCTAAGACAACTAAGAGAACACTTGCAACTTTTTACTTACGTTAAGAAAACGACCCACATTTCCTTCTTTGGTGGCATCCAGTACATAAGTATTTTCTTCATTAGCATTCTTCAGAAGCATCCTGTCACCATCAGCATCCTCACAAGATGTGCCTCGTTTTGACTTCCTGTGATTCTCCTCTTTGCAGTCAGCTTTTAGTGCTACATTTTTGGATGGTGTCACGACACACCTGTCATCCAGCACACCTGAGCTGCCACAATCAACACCTTGCAGAGACGGAGTCTTTCTTTTGCATTCTGCACTGTCCACATCAGCAGACTCAGTCTGTCCCACTTCCATCGGATGTTCTTCCTTCTGCTGCTGAGTGGATTCTGTCAATAGACACACAAGTTGTTTTCAATGCCAGTTAAACGCCAAAGCCTTTCCCTTGTTTAGCCCCGAACTCTTATTCACCCACCCTTCATTCTCCAAAATGTACACATCTTCCTTGTTATTTACAAGTGTATAACACAACTGCCCTTTTCCATGCCTCTCACCAGTCCTCCCACAAACGACTGTTTCCTGCTGCGGTGCCTAAAGCACTTGCTCAAGTCTCCTGTGAGTGACCTAGTCTCTCCCTTCTTCTAAAATCCCACTGAGAGAATCACAAACTGTAATTAAGACAGAAACAAGATGCACATGCAAATAGCATCAGTTTAACACTGGTTCTCCAGCCTGAGGTCCTCCCACCCCCACATTATATCCTGTTCCAGTTTTGTTGACTGGCACATGTATCAGGTGTGACACAATATGATTTGCAAGACCGACTTTCCCACAATTGCACTGTATTTGAGCAGCTGCTGTCAGGACTGTTCGATATATGCCAGGATCAACTTTGCAGGCAAAAGCTTGCCCCATACCAGTTAACGCACTGCATTATGCAAGGCAACAATAATTTCTGTACCACTGAGCTCTCTTAGAGACAGCCTATGCATTATGCGGGCAGCATCATTCTACTCTGGGAACAGGCATGCCCACATCCAAAGATCATGTTCTACATTCTAAGTCTATCACCTGATGGGGCAGAAGGGTACTAAGAGTGCAGTATTTATAGCTCTGCAAACCTACTTTCTTTTCTTTTCTTTGTTCCACTGGTTAGTTTTGTTTTGCTTGACTGATGAATCTGAGAACTATTATCTTCATCTGAGCTGGCACTGTGCACCAGTGTATCAATTTCCTTTAAACAGAATAAAAGATAATGAAAAGGCTGTGATGTATTGTTGCTGTATGCAACTCTGGGTCAACACAGGATAGCAAGTGGCTTTTAGGACTGTAGGGTTGAAGTTTCAAACCTACTGTAATGCATAGCCATGGCTGAGTTTCAAAAGTTCATACATTTCTGGCAATGCAACACTTATCCTAATTTCAAATTATCCTTCAGAATAACCTGGAAGGTTATTATCCTTATTTCAAATTATCCTTCAGAATAACCTGGAAGGAGCTTCCCACTCAACAAAACATTTAAGTGCATGCTTAAGTCCCAACAATTTCACCAGAATTTAAACACATATGTGCAAGTTGCTGAACCAAAGCCCAAACATGCTTTTTACATGGTTTCAATAAAATGAACAGAAGCGGCAAGATTTCTTCTCTCCCACCACAAAAAGGCCATTAGTTATGGGAACTCCAGAATAGACAGCACTGCCAAACGTTAGCATGAAAATCCTACATGCATTTCTTAAGTGCAATGAAACCAATGAAACCTACAAAGTAAGTTTACCCCAGTTTCCCTCTTCTGCAAGTATTTGCAGGCAACACTTCACACCCAGGTCAGATAAAATTTTCCCAACTGTGCTACTGCATGAGAAAACTGCATCCAACTCTTGAGATTTTCTTCTCTTCTCTCCCTGCTATGTCATTCTTTGGGGAGACATCACAAAAATATTATCACAATGGTCCCCTAACCCTGCAGATAGTTACAACAGGGGATGGAAGGGGAGAATGATTTCTTAAGACTCTCAAGGCTGGAGTGTAAGCGAAGGGTGGAGAAGGGAAGGCTGTGAGACTAGTTAGTGCTGGTCTCAGGGAACATCTTGAAGGACTGGTAACAGAGAAGAGATGGGATATAGCTTCCAGCATGCCAGCTCAGCTCACAGTGTGACACAATCTCATGAAGAAAGATCACTAGCACTATTTAAAATACAAGATGAAAAGGTCAAAATTAACATATACATATTCAGCACAGTGCAAAATTAATTTATTAAAGCCTCTTATTATTATTACCATTTTCAGCTGGTCATTATGAAAAACAGCTATTCTGGTTCTAGGACTTTTCGCCGTTGCAATACTTAAATTCTTTGGATGAACTCTGTACAGAAAGGTCAAAAGGAAATTTTAAAACACAAAGAGACCCAGAAATGACTCTCGCAACACACATTTCTCTAACAGTCTCTAGTTCATAAAGAGCAGACTACACCAGAACCTGCAGTCTGGCCTCAACCCAGGCTCTGTGACTATTTTGCCTTTAAGAATTGAGGACCTAGGTTAGGTTCTCAACAGTATTTGGAAAAAAAACAGTTGTTCATACTTTTTTTTTTGAGAGATCAGCATCCTTTCCCAGTTCTCCTGCTGAGAAGCAAATTCTCTGCTGTTTTACTATTATTATATCAGATCATTTCAAAATAGAGTACCTACAGAGTTTTGCCTTTTTTCTGCTACCACTTTCAAAAGTTTTGACAGTGTAGCTTTCAAACAAGAAAAGATGTTGCAGGGACAAAGGATAGACAGGGAGGACAGAGAGAGAGAGAGGGGGGGAGAAAGTCAATATACAGCAGATACAAAAAATACTCTCCCACAGAAGAACCTCACGCCTTCACATCAGGAGAAGATTGAGGAAGCATGGGAAGCAATATCTGGCATATACCTTTACAACATCAAAAACTGCATTCATTTGGATTATGTTCACTGTGCAGTAGAAAACACCAGTTTCAAAACTAATCTTAATATCTGTACATCTAGTAATAAGTAACGGCTCTTATTCAAGAAAACTTACAACCTTTATGTGTTTTCTTGCCACAAAACCCATCATGGTTTTACTGATAATGGCAACAAATGCTACGCTTTAAGGCTTTCTTAAGATTTAAACCCCTTTGTAAACTCAGAAAGTGCAGTAGCCACAAGAACATACGATATTATTACATGATTACATTGTTTGTCCTTATAAAGGCAATTTGTTGGGGTGAATGACACATCAGGCTTAGCACACTGATGTCCTCTCAGATCAGCTGGATTGTCATTTCTTAAGAGGCAGAATAACAAAGGTTTTTTGTCTGTCATATTTTTTTACACAGCCCATATATGAAACATTTTTATTCTCAGGAAAGGAAATTTATGGGATTTAAGGCAGAAGTACAGTAAATGCTACTTTAAATCTGTGATTCCCTGGAATTTTTAGTGAAAGCACATAGTAGAAGTAAAATCCAGTTGATTGCTGGTTGAATTATGTAATTTAGAAAATGAATAGTTCATCAGGTTTCCAAGATACTGAAATGCAAATGAGAATATATTGGCAGGTATTTTAAAGAGTTTCTATTTGCAATTTCATGGTTCTTCTCAAAGATCCACAATAATCTTTTACTACGAAATGAGCAAGAATTTGCAATCATTTATGAGCAGTAGAAAGAAAGTGTTTACAGAGCAGTGTGACAGAGCAAGGAAGAAAGTTTAAGAAAACAAGCTCCCAAGTTCCTTCTGAAAAGACTACAGCATGCTATTGGCAAAGCCACATGGTTATTTTGCAGCAATTTTATTTTATGAATCCTGATAGGCTATGAGATCCTGACAGTAAAATGAAAACAGGACCAGAACTTTTGTATAATTCACTGCAAAAGCGATGTGTTCTCAGACTCCTAGCAGGAAAGGTTACAAAGAACATGAGGTTCAAAGACTGGGAGCAAAGGACAGGACAGTTAGTGGTTAATTTGTTATCAAAACCTTCATTGTCATCAAGTATCTTTATCTCAAGTATCTTTTATTAATTCTTTCAAATTAGCGTAATGATTAATGCCTGTACAGCTCAAGTACACCCAGAAGATGAACTGGATTTCTGGAAAAGGCCAAGTGATACACTAGGTAAGTAAAATCAATATAGAGGAAAAATTCTGTCCCACTAGAAGAAATAATCAGGAACTAATAAAAAAGTTGGGAAAGAAAAAAGCCCTCACCCTCAGCTGAGGACATTAAGTTCTTCTCTAAGTTTTACAAAAGACTTTCTAGAATAGCAGAATATTAGTTTTGTTATGTTTATGTTTGTTTCAGTAAACTTACAGGGTTGATTTATTTTCATTATCCACAGCCTGAGGCAAAGATTCCCGCTTCTCAAGAATGTCATTTTTGCCAGCCTGCACTAGTTCAGTCACAGAGTCTAAACAATCAGTGTCAAATTTTCTTTTTTTGAAAAAAAAGCCATGGCCTCTGTCATTCACAGGACTCTTCTCTTTCAGTTTTTGACCAGCATCCCCCAATACTCGAGCTTCAGCTCTGCTCATTAATCTGCCTGGAAGAAAAAGAATATTTTTCTTTTAAATTGTTTGTTTGCCAAGATGGGTCACACTCACTACTGCAGCTCAAACTTACATTAAAAAAATACAAGAACATTATTTGGGAAAGCAAAATATGAATGCACGTACACTGAAGGAAAACTAGCCCTGGCACAAGATGCACACGTCTGCAATGGAAAAATCAACAGTCTGAGATAGTCTTCGCTCCAGAATGCTTTGATTGTTTGTCTGGCACCATTGTATTGCAGAGTTCTTCAAGGTTCTTCTGTTTGATCATCTTGCAAGTTAAGATTATATTGACTCACTTCTCTTCCAACCCCACATTTCCCTGTTTGATTCTCAAAAAAATTCCAGGGCACAGGTCACAAGAGAGGGAGAATTATGCTATACATCTTCCACAGGTCACCTTCTGTTACCTGAGTAAGTACAAACAAATGTCCCCTTGTCGATATCATCTAGGCAGCGGACACCCCAGCCTTTCTTCTCCGTGTTGAACACTTGCAACCTGACTTGAATGCCATGCTGTACAACTCTGTTTTGACACATCATCTTATCACACCTGCACAACACACTGCACTCATAAATTCTGTCAAGAGGAAGCAAAACAAAACACAATATAAAAGAATGCATTGCCAAAACAAAGTTGCTATTATTAATTTCCCTCCTGAACATTAATAAGGCAGTTGACTGAAAAGATAAAGACTGGCTAAAATTGATTGTGCAGCAGTGCTCTGATGCTCATGACTTTCTCGATTGCCAATTCATGAATTTTAAGAGTCTGTCAGCCAGATTTTGATATAAGTAGACATGAAAAATAAATGTTACCTTTTTATTTTATTGGAGTAAACCACACAGAAGCAGAAATCCCTATGAAGCACCTGATTCTATGCTGGAACAGATATTAGCAAAGACAACCTGTCTGCCTGGATGGCAGTGTAGCTGTCATGAGTTTTAGGATTTAACAAAATATTTCTAAAAGAATTCACAATTGTGCTTTTTTTGCATTTGTTTCTGGGTTCACTGGCAGCTTTAATTTTGCATGCCAACCATAAACTAACATCACACAGTACAAAGGACTGAAAGGGCCCCCTTAAGCCTGTGAGTTCAGCCCTCGGCTATTGCAGAAAGCTACCTTACACAACTCCTCTCCTAAACATCTGAGGTTACTGGCACCTTCCCCAGGCTACCTATTAATCCACAGGAGCTGAACAAGAGAAAAGGTGAACACTTGCAGCACTGGGATGGCTTTGGATACTCTTGGAAGAGTCACACATAACTAAGTCTGGCAACAGCAGCTGGCTGATATTTCCTTAAGACTCTGGTCCTACAGAGCAAATGGGTGCACAAGATACAGGGCAAAACCCAAGGGTGGCTACTGCTTCCCACTTCTTTGGTTGATATACGCTGTGATAGTCTTGTAACAGACCTCCTTCCTTTGTGGCAGGTTTCCTTCCCCTCTCCCTTCCCCCCTTGACATGCCTAAACGAACCAGCACATGGGCTAGATATGGCTTGAGCTCTTGAACCAGTTAACACTATGTTTGTTACTCTTTACACTCTTCTGGGATCTTGAACTAGGCTATGAAAATTGTAGTATTGGCAGTACAAAAGTGTTTCTTCCCCTCCTATTACTCAAGTCACATCCTGATCTGTCAGTAAAATTGAGACAAAAATGGAAGGTTTCAGTAATCCAGAAACAGCAGTTATTTTAGTCCTGTAGTACTTACAACTACAGGAGTAAAATAAGAGTATATAAACAAATTAACAGTTAGTAGTTCTGTCTTTCTTACCCACTAGGAACAGGTCCCTCCAGTCTTTTGTAACTGTATCCATGGCATGTTTTACTACTTGGAGACAGAGAAATTTTACTACAGCCTCTCGCAGTTAGCTGTAGGCATGCGCATTTTGACCTAGAAGATAACAGTGAAACATCTCAGAATGTATTTGGGTAGCATAAATCCAACATAAATCTAGATGATTTAAAATGTACTTGACTATGCACACACAGTTTTATACACACCTGTATTCCTCCCACCCTCACTTTTACTCCATAAGGCCATTTCAGGCACCCTACCCTTCTCCTTTTCTCTTGCCTGGTTACGCGTGCTTTACAATAATCAAGTTCTCTCCACCCCAACCCCATTCTTCCACCAAGCTCTGTAAAAGGCACACACCAACAGCTCAAGTAGGTCAGAAATTTATTATAAACAGGACACTCCCAAATAGTTTGAATGAAGGAATTAAAATCACCTGTTCTGGCACAGCATCTCAGTCTGTTAGCCACTACTTCACTATCGTTGTCCCACGCTAGCCCCCAGGAAGTGAAGAATTTCACACTACAGAGTAGAGAACTCAAGCAATAATGCTGGCCTTTACCATCTTATGTTATGACAACTCCAAAGACCCACAGTGTTTGTGAAAACAGCAGTGGACCAAATCCTGAACCCCAAAACCACACATCAAAAGCATCTCAACTGTTGGGGGAGTTCAGTGCAAAGCAGCAGCACGCTATGTGCTTGCTGTTCCCCACCACTCAGCTGAAAATAAGTAACTTTAATTACTGAAGCTTCATTATACTAGGCTGTGATTTCAAGGTTTTGTTGGGTCATGGGCAATTATACTGCATACAAGCACATGCGACTGCTCCAGCTATCAATAATACAAAATGGATTCAACATCAAATAACACCTGTAGGCAGAGATCAGGTCAGAGACAAACATCCTTCAAGAAAGTGGACAAAATTATCACCAAACTCACATATGTCAACTGGCGGTCAACAGAGTAACATGTAGCCAGAGCTACTGGACTTTAGAAAAAGACAGCAATGAGCAACACCATTTGAACTGCTCAGAACATAAAACTGTCCTGTGACTGCAGGGTTTCATCGTTTCTGTTTAGACAAGGGGAAGGATGGGATGTAGAGGTTGTGTTTCCTCCTCTGCCCTCAGTAACCTTCTAAGTTCCAAATGATGTGATCTCTCCAGGCTGTCCTATCCCATCTCTAGGATACCATCCTACAGCAGGAGCTGCAGCAGAAGTTGTCATGCAGGATCCTTCCCTGCCTGCCAGGAAAACAAGCCTTCCTGGCACAAGACTCTCCCTTCCCCACTCCTTTTCCAAAGCCGAGAGATGTGCCTGCCAGCTTCACCTGGAGGAGCACTGCCAATTTGGGAAGAAAGGGAAAGGAACGCGATAATGCACCTGTTGATTGCTTCCTTCCCTACAACAGAGGCTGGACGGGTAGGAGCACCCAAGTTCTGGAGAAGATAAAGACACAGTGGTGTCAGTCAGCACAAAGCATGGCACAAGACAACTTCCACAGATATTCCAGCAGCGTTGGTCCTTCGTTATTTGGCACTGTTTGGTACTGCAAGCCTTCACACTTACACCACCACCCTACTATTGAGGTATCATGCATCACTTGTCTGGGATTAGATTTTTCTACCTACCTATCAATGCAGCCATCTGTACAGTCACATGAATCAACAAACGTGCTGGAGAAATTGTTGAGATAATAGCCACGCGGCCATGATGCCCTCCGGTATTTGAAATAAGGTAATCTTGCGCGGTCAAGATCATTACAGAAGGAAATGGGAACAGACTCGGCTCCATTGCTAATATCAAAATCAAATACAAGGGGTTCGGGATTTACGGTGTTCCTGCCCAACAGTACATATGTGTTGAAAGAGAAGTGATCAACAAATAAGAAATTGCATTCTGTTTCAAACAAATAATTTTGCACATCTTGAAAGCTTCTCAAACTTCGACCACAAGGAGCTTTATAGTTCACATCCAGTGATTTCGAAAGGCAGTCTGCTTTTGCATGGCGTCTTTCAAAGTGAAACAGGATTGGTATCTTAAGAGGATTTTCACCCTTGAAGGAGTCTGCTGCTCTGTTGGCAAGACAAGCACTAGAGCACTTGTGGTTCTGATACTGCAGGTTTAAAGGTAATTCTTGAATTTTACGAGATGCTTCTTTAATCCCTGAACCTGTTTTTTCCATTTCCTCCTTTTTGCTATTTGGAACAAAAGAAAAAAAAAAAAGGGAAAAGAGCAGCATCTTAGACAACCAGTAAAACACTCAGGTTTTTTTAGTGGTTCAATATTATTAGTAAAGGAAACTAAAAACCCATTGCTAGAAGGCCAGGAGTTTCACCGAATCACTGCTTGCATTGTGTTACTGTCCTAACATCATAGGAAGACATATTCAGTGGCATTAAAAAAACCCCAAAAAGGCAATGGCTCTTTCCCAGAAGGAACTTACATATTAAACACAGAAAGGACATTAAAAACAAAGAAGAAAGGAACAATATCCCCTATTTTCCAAATCAGTACCTGAGGCTAAATACAGACTAAGTCACGTGTCTGACAATCTGTACAGTTTGTGAAAGCCTGAGAACTCAACATAAAAATTGGTAAGTCCTAACCCTGATAATCCTGGTAATACTTATAGTTCTTTATTCGCAACCTAATTCTGCAACATTCTCACATGTCAAATCAGACAAGTCTACTCAAAACCTCAGGTTTTCCTTGTAGGTCAAGTTAAAAATATTTTTGCTCCGAAAACTGGCAGGATTCAAAACTGGGTTTAAAACATTAAATTTAGAAATACAAGGCAGAGATGAAAATCTCTCTCAAATGCACTAAAGGATATGTCAAATAAGGAACTGGAATAAACTATTAAATACACTGACCTGTGAGAAGCTTCTACAGACTCTGCAGTGTTGTCATCTGTAAGCAGGTGCTGCAATTTGGGCTTGGTTTCCTGTATGCCGTCTCCATCAAACACATCACTTACTGAAAAAAATTGAATGCAAGCAAAACCTTCAGCAATCCACATTTCAATTTATAATTGAACTTACTTTAGTTACTAAAGAGAAAATTGCCAAAATACATTGCTATGAACTGCAGCTAACAAAGAGCAGCTAACAAAGGGCAAGTGCCCTACTGCCTGCTTTTTATAACTTATACAAAAGTCATGTGTTTGCATATAGGCATGCAAGTAAGCGACTAGCTGACACACTCACACTTTCTGTCCTGTTCCTCCTCTCCCTCCCTCTCTCTCCTTCCCTTTCCCCAAAGGGGGGAAACTTAGGTGTACATTGACAAATTCGAGGCAGAAGTCCATCATGAAGATTCACCCCTTTTCACAGACCACCAGGTGATTTGTACATTAAAATCTTCCATGTAGCTTTCGAAGTGCATGGAGACAACATGCATATGACACACATACAGACCTCTCTTCTTTATTTGAGGTAAAAGGATGCCAGGGTATTACAACTAGCGGAGCCATGCACAAGATGACTCTGCTTGCAGCCAGCTTGGATTCATCAGGGCTTACTCGTTCAAACTCTCTTCACTTGGTACAAACCATACACACACACACACACACACAAACCACAGAAGTACAAACCCAGGTGAGAGTCCACAGTCCAATACCTGAGGAAACTACTAACTACATTTTTTCCCTTGCAATGCTAACAGGCTTCTCAGATCTATTTTATTGATTTCAACAAAGGCAAATAAGCTCCTGGTGAGTAAAACAAGACAAAGTAAATCCACATACTAAATAAATATGATTGAGATGCACATACCATTTGTCAAGAGATCACCTAAATTAGCTTCATTCACCAGTGTCCAAGCCTGCCAGTATTCTATACAAAAAACAAAACAAAACAGATATGAAGTGTAATTTAAGTAATGATAATAGGGACAATGATAATAGGGAAAACAAGGTGTAAGTCCTCCAGAGACACTTGTTTCCTCACTATGCTCATCTAGAGCATTGCAAGACTCATACTATTGGAAACATTTTGCACCACAGTCCTTAATAGACACATCTATGAATTACAGTAAAATAACAGCTCATATTAGTAGCTGTGAATCAGCACGCCTTTGGAAAGCTGCTGGAATGTTTGCAAACACACACAAACCAGTAGCCTCTAGTGGCAGTAATATACTTAAACACAATTTAGTCTAAGTTTCTCTCTTTGCTTTGTCATCAGACTCGTCATCGTATTGCTAAGAAGGGCTGGATCTTGGCAGACCAAATTAATTCTACTCCTAAATTGGTGGAAATGGTGTTCAGATAGTAAGAACACAAAGAAGAGACCAGTTCTGTCTCAACCTCTTACCCCATGCCATAAATATTACAAGGCAGCAGACAAATGTCAGGAAAATCCATGTTAATATCTTAGTTTGAAATCTTTACAGAACAAAGCGTACAAAAATTTAAGTTTAACTATGTCACAGATTCATTGTGTCATCTGGGTATTCAACTTCAACTTTGATTTATGCACTGCTGTAATATTTTGTCATAAAAATCAAGGTAAGGGAGCTCAAGTACACAAAAGTGCTACCAATTTAGAGCAAACATTACAATGCAGAGTGTGTTGCTATACTGGTTTAAAAGTGTCTTACACTACTGTACATTTTCTTGCACAAAAAAAGTGATAAGATCCATAGATTAGATTTACATGGGTGACTTAATAAAAAAAAAAATCATTTTTACGAATTAAATAAACTAGTAAAAAGAAACCTGTGTACTGCTCCAATCTTATCAAATTTCTGATTTTGATGCAGATAAAGGAAACTTATTTCCCTGAAAATCAGGAACAATCTTAAATGTATTGCTGTCACATTTTTCTACTGATGTTTCAAGTTATAATGCTGTCTCTGATATGAACTAATACATATATGATTATAATCCCACCCCAAAACCATTCAGTTCACTGAGATCAGCTTGAAAGGCTAAACCTTCTGATGGTAAACAAAACACAAGGCACTGCAGATATGTCATTACTTCTCAAGAACAAACATTTCAATTCCTTGTGCTTAAGAGCCACACATTGTTTGAAAAAAGTATACAGGCAAAATGCACCTGAAATGATTAGCTGTTTTTAAAAAGCAGGTATATTTTTAAATATATCTGTACAACACGTATGAGGCCCTCGGCATGGGAGACCAGCCAAAGGACAACGAGGCTGACGGTCCAAGTACATCAGAGGAGTTGCCAGGACCAGAAAGGCCTACTCACCATATTAAGACTAACTCTACAAGGAAGAAAAGGTGGGTTATAGTTGTGGGTGACTCAGCTCTGAGGGGGACAGAGGATCCGATATGTAGGGCAGACCCCACTCTTAGGGAAGTCTTCTGCCTCCCTGGGGTACGGGCCAGGGACATCACAAAGAGATTCCCTAGCCTGGTGCGGCCCTTGGACTACTACCCGCTGCTTCTGTTCCATGTGGGGAGTGACGAAAGTGCAAATTGGAGTGTGAGGATGATTAAAAAAGACATCAGGGCCTTGGGACAGCTAGTACGTGAATCCGGAGCACAGGTTATTTTTTCTTCCCTACTTCCAGTTGGCGGCAATGACATTGAAAGAAACAGCCGAGCTCAGTCTGTTAATATGTGGCTCCATGGCTGGTGTCACTGCCACAATTTTGTTTTTTTTGACAATGGAATAGCCTATGTTTTTTTTGACAATGGAATAGCCATCTGCTGGCAGCAGATGGGGATTGTCTCACTCAAAGGGGGAGAAGGGTCTTTTTGCAGGAGTTAGTGGGGCTCATTGACAGGGCTTTAAACTAGACTTGACAGGGGAAGAGGGTATTATCAGGCTTGCCTGTGACAAGCCAAGGCATGATGCACCAAGGAAAGAGGTACGGGCTGCTAGCGAGGGCCTCCAGCCCTTTGCTCCAAGATGTGCTGGCTACACTGCAGCACATTTATGTAGTCTTATGTAGATGAGCCAGAAGCTCCGGGGGTAACAGCAGCCAATAGGGAGACACCGTTAACACACGGCAAAGGAATGCTGCCTGGAGAGCAGCACAAAGACGGCCGAAGTGCCTCTATGCAAATGCACGTAGCATGGGGAACAAACAGGAGGATCTAGAGACATGTGAACGCCTCCAAGGCTACAATCTTATTGGCATCACGGAAACGTGGTGGGATGACTCCTCCAGGGAGGACAGGCTGGGAGAGATGGGGCTGTTCAGCCTGGAGAAGAGTAGGGTCCAGGGAGACCTTATTGCGGCCTTCCAGGACCTAAAGGGGGCCTCCAGGAGAGCTGGGAAGGACTTTTTACAAGGACATGCAGTGATAGGACGAGGGGGATGGCTTTAAACTGGAAGAGGGTAGGTTTAGATTAAATATTAGGAGGAAATTTTTCACTTTAAGGGTGGTAAGGCACTGGAACAGGTTGCCCAGAGAAGTTGTTGAGGCCCCATCCCTGGAGGGGTTTTAGGCCAGGCTGGATGGGGCTTTGAGCAACCTGGGCTAGTGGGAGGGGTCCCTGCCCATGGCAGGGGGGTTGGAACTCAATGATCTTCAAGGTCCCTTCCAACCTAAACCATTCTGTGATTCTATGAAAAGTGCTTAAAAACGCCAACTACTAAGTAATTTAAATTCAGAGATATGAGTTGTGACAGAGAGCACACAGCCCTACATAAAACAGGCCACAGCTCCCCTGCAGTCCAGCTTAACCTTTACAACGATTTCAAACCTTGGTTTGTGGCAGTTCCATTCTTGATCTTTTGCTTCAGCAACAGCAGCACATTTTGCACCTGCTCAAATATGACGTCCACTCTTCTACCTCCCAATTGAGTCCAAAATGTCTTCAAATCACCTGAAATGTAAATTTCCATTTACGAGTCTGTACAGCTCCCAAGAAGTCTAAAAACACAGGTAGCTCCTAGTGGACTTTCCAAAGACTCCCACTCATTTGATTGGGAGGCACTTCTGAAAAACTAGTCAGGACAGCTGTGTTCTTTTGTAGGTTTAAACTTTCAGAAGTCTATTCCTAAACCTAATAATGAAAGTGAAACAGAAGTCAAGTGACAAACTGGAGTGGCTTCTGATGGTCTGTGATGTTCCTTCAAGTAACTTTTCACGCATGTCTACAAAGGGTGTTGTGAAAGCCTTCCTCCAAACACCAGCAAATTAGTCCCACTATAAATTAATCACCACTGAAACTCATAGAAGTGACACAGGAGAATATTTTCAACTGAATGAACCAAACATATTATTAAACAAAATACATTTGGAAATTTTTTTATAGCTATAACCTCCCTTAGCTACACAGGGGGACTATCCTGTCCCATCAATATTTTGCATATGTTTTCTAGGGAAAATGTTCAAGATACTTTCAGATAAAAGCAGTTTGATAAATTCTGTTCACCAAGTGTTATCAGTTGCAATAGTTAATACACCCCTTATATAATGCCTCCTTCCTCCATTAGAAATATTTATAAAGAACATTTTGTTTAAAGAAGTGTTTTTTAACCTACTGGCTCCGAGCTTCTCTTCTAAGTGTATGTACTTTTGAGATACTAAGCCCATTCATGAAAGATCCTGTTAAAACATTAGCAGTGCATCCTTGACAAGGACTCTGAAAAGGGAATATGGTTCAGTGTGTCGAAAGACAATGCCAGAAAAGAGAACAGGCTCTCTCTCATGGCTAATGTTTCTCTTCTTCAACGATCAAGCACAAAAGAATAAGTAAATCTGTTTTCCTACTCCATTTCTAGAGGTAGAGTCCACTGCCACCATACTAGGTTTACATTCCACTTTCAGACAGCAAATCTCAGTTGGCAAATGTGCTAGTGTGACACCTCCCCAGTGGTCATGAAATGCTGCATTCTTGTAAGGCTATTAAAAAGCATTTCCTTAATTTTTGACTTAGCAGAAAATTACTTCTGTTGTCCAAGACACCAGAAGGTAAGTAATGCCACGGCAGTACAGAGTCTATGGTTGCTCTCAAAAGCATCATGACAGCAGTGAAGAAAGTAACAATCTTTTGTCACTGCAACCCCAGATGATGTTACCAGCAGCTAAGACCATGATAGTTATCTTGTAAAACTTTATCTTGTAAAACATCTGATTACCTTCTAACTCTCAACATCATTTCATGGGCTTTTTATATTCACAGAAATTTAAAAAAAAAAAAAGAAGTGAAAAGGTCAAAGTCCTATTACAAAAAATGCCCACAACAGCTTCTGGAAACCTACGCTACTGCTCCAAGAGACTTCATCTGCCCTGTGCCATTCTCATCCTCCTTTTGATGTGCATGACAGTAATCACAAATTTTAAATACTGAGAAATAAATATATTTCATATCTGTGTTTAAAAATACACATTCAGAAATTCTAGTAAGAAGTTCCACCACTGCAGATTTAAAACTGCTGTCCTTATTTCTTATCTGTTTTCAGGTATTTCAATACATTTACTAAGTCTGGATAGCACTGGTGGATAGATTACTTCAGAAGATGGGTGACAGAACACAGTTTTTCATTTCTGCATCATCAGTGATAATCTTGTGTAGGCCAAAAGGAAATAAACCATACACTACTACATCTAGTGCTCAAACCACTCACTCACCTTGGAAATGCTTCCCCAACTCCCATGCTGGAGTGCCCTGAAACTCTAGCAGCAAAAACTTGGTTTTGCATGGCGAAGAAAAGATTGCATATGAAGTGCATAGTATCATTTTCATTTCAAAAAAGACAGATGTTCACATCACTAATCTCCCCTCCAGTGTTAATGCTGCTGTTGTCAATGCCAGCCAGGACAGGGAATGAACAGACACAGGATGCATCTACCTTGCCAGCATTTAAAATGATCTCACCAGCTGATGACTCAGGGTGTGGACTGGCATCTGGTGGCAATAGTTCTAAAACTGGCTAAGGCCACTACCTCTGCAGGGATTTTCTTTTCCCTCTATAGGATCCCTGTGGCGATATATCTCTTTTTTCAGCATTATGTAGGGGAACGATGTTAGAACAAGAAACAATCAACCAAGGCCAGAGCCACTCATGCCAGCTACCAGAAAAAATACTTGGGTGCGTATTTCCTATAAAGGACCTTTAGTGCTGCTGACTAACATCTTACACATACTCCACAGAAGGCAAAACTATGGTCTGCTGGTTATCATTCTCACACCGGAAGTGGTGCCAAATAGATTCTACTTTCCCCTTTCCCTCCATAAATCCAAATATTACCTTCCATCGTCTCCTCCCTGGAACTGGTAAGGTTCTCCACTTCAAAGCAGTCACACAGCGCTGCAAGAGGTGCAGAATGGACAAGTACGTAAGAGATCAGGTGAGAAATTAAAATGGTTGTAGCTACTTAGTTTTTCAAAATTTATACAAGTAAATACTACAGCAGGTATCAGTGGGAGCACTGTGTGAGAAAGTGTTATAGTGCAATAGTCATCCCACTTTCAGTTATCCCACATCTTGTCAAGACCTAGCTGAAGAACACGCAAATGAAACAAGCTGTGTGAGGAATTTTTTTTTTTTACATAGGTCACTTATTATCTTTCAAGTGTGAAGCTCTCATGAGATGACCAATACTTTCTAGGATATTCAGTTGAGCCTACATAATTCTCACTTCTATTAGCTCCCATTTTCATCTTTTTTTTTTTTTTAATTAATGCTGTCAGTACAGCAGTACTGCAAAGAAACTACTTTATTTAGGAAAAAATGAAGGCTTTTTTAGGTAAAGACATTACTGAGTTTGTTTCTCAACACATGCAAAGACAAAGCAAGGTATCTCCATTGTAACAACACTAAGGAGAAGTAAGGCAACATTCTTCGACCACATTGAAGATACTACATTTCTGAGTATCACCACTAACGACACAGAAAACATAAAAGATACCTTACCTATATATGTTAGCTACTTAATCTTTTCTATGCTACAACTGAAAAAAAAAAAAAAAAAGAAATCCATTCATTCTGGCACAGAAGTTTCATTTGGTTGACTGGAAAAAGAGGTTAAGTGAAGACTGTTGATTCCTAAAAAAGTTTCTCACAAGATCTGCCTAATGACTGCTCAAAACATGTTTTTGGCTTTGTTTGGTTTTTTAAGGCTTACTTTTTTTCTCTTCCATCTTCTAGGGTGGCTGCACAGAAGGCTGTTACACGCTTTGGGGATATCGCCAGCACCGAGCCCAGCTCAGGTAGGAGACCGGTGGGTTGATCTTGCTGATCCCCGACCGGGCAAGGGGCCCGCAGACAGCAGCCGGGACACCTGTCAGGCTGGGGGCCAACGGCTGACATGGGGTGACCCGGTCTGTGGTGAGGGACAACCTCTCCTGGGGGAAAAGACTCTGGTCAGGGGCCGCCCTGGGACACTCGTGGCCTCTCCCCAGCACCTTCCACTCTCCTCCGGCCAACGGCTCCTCAGCTCATGCGGGCATGAAGGAGAGACACGGATTAACGTCGCATGGCGCCGACCGAAAGACAGGCCGCCGCGCTGAGGCGCGGGGGTCACCCCAGACATTCCCCCCCTCCGTCCCTTCGGGGGTTTGAGGACCGCGGAGGAGGCCGGGCCGATACCCCACGCCGGATGACGGGCC